AATAAGTTCTGAGTATTGTTTAATAATAAGTCAAAATTCACAAGATATATGTAGATAGATATAGATTCCACTGATAAATTAAGAAGTGATTACAAAAAGTTATTTCGCCATGAAAATTTCAATTAACTGGAATCTAATCGTACCACCATGTGTCAAGATATGACCTTCGGCTTTCATTTTCTTTCGGCCCATCAGTCTATGCTGTCCTGGAGAAAAATAAAATCTATGGAAATAATATGTGAAAGAAAAATTAAATATCACTTATTTCATTCAAAATTATTGCGTTCTTCGTAAGTTTGTTATTATTTAAAAATCGAAAATGATAATTTCTATATTTTATTTTCTTTTAATTCATGAAATGTATTTTAAAAACAAAATCACACTAAATTAAAGTTAATAACAGATCATATATTAATAATGAATTTTAAATATGATTTTATAAGAGACTTGAGATCAGATAACAGTATCTATATCAATAACTGAGAAATTATATTTTAAAATGTAAAATACCTTTAAACATAATATTTGACGATAACAATTAACATAACATATATAAAATCAAACTTTCTTATTTTTCTAAAAGACATACTGTTTTAATTACCTTATTTACTTTTATTGATTTTTCATTGACTAAATATTTTTTAAAAGTTGTGTTAACCGTGAAAATATATTATTTTAATATTTTTATTAGGATAGTTTTCAATATTTTTGGATAAATTTACTGAAAAATAAGTTTTAAATAATTAATCTCATTTAGATTCAAAGAAAAATAAGTTTATGTAAGAAGCTAAAAATGTAGAGTACAAAATTTTACATCCATATTATTTTTCAGGTTTTTTTATATTAAAGTTCTAATCATTCAATTTATTTTACAAAAAAGTTATTTTCTGATAAAAACTACTAGAAGGGAAGAAAAACAACATTATTAATCATCATGCTCTTATATCTTATTTAATTCTCGGATTCGTACCATAAAAAAAGGGATAGTTTTCTTATGATCACACACACACACACACACATATATATATATATATATATATATATATATATATATATATATATATATATATATATATTATCATCATTTTAGTTAATTTTTTCTAAATCTTAACTAATAAAATAATTTTGGCTTATAAGTTTATGAATGAAAAGAAAGGAAAAAAGTTACAGTATTAAGTTTTGAACCACACAAATTTTACGTCATTCACCGATAATTTAAATCATACATAATAACATAACTCTGAAGCGATGTAATTAAAAAAGTTTTTGATCCCATGAAGTGAATGGATAACAAAATAAGAATACATTTATTATTAAATAAATAAAACTTAATAGAAAGCTATGAATCAGGCGTAAATTGAGCATAGCCAGCTATGTTCATGCAATAAGTTTAACATCATAGAAAAATTACGATAATCTTATATTCAAATTAATACAATATTAGCAAATTATATTAATTATTACAAGTATTATTGAAAAAACATAAAACGAATTAACTCTTATTATTTTACAATTATTTTAGGCAGTATGATTTAAATATTCTAACTATTGAGGTCTTGAAATATAAAATAATAAATCATGAAATAAACATAGATATAAAGATATTTTAAATACTGATATCCTCAAAACAAATTGTAACATATGATTACGCCGGATATTACGTTTATAATTAAGAAGGTTCTATTTTAAGTTTATTATAATAATATTATTAAGATTTATTAATATTTTAAATTTTTTTAATTAAGCTTATTATTACTTTTAATTCAAAATTATAAATTGATCTGAACATGGTATTTAGTCAATGACTAAAAAATTAAAGAAAATATGAGACTTTAAGGTAGTTCTACAGTAAATGTCAGATGTTATTACCGAAATACAACTATTGGTCAGAGTTTGAGTGAATTCAGCCACAGAACATTCTGCATTTATCATTAACATCAGTTCACTCCTATTTTATTTTATTTTTCTTAAATGTTCCAATATATATTTTATAAGTCTCACGCTTATTTAAAAATTGAGATCAATAATTTATATATGTTTTATTTAAAAAATTTTAAAGTTAAAATATAATTAACAAAAATAAAAAATGGATAATATTTTAAATCCAATAATAGATCTAATATATTATATTTAAAATATTTTTATTTTTATCCTATTAAAAAATAATTATTTTCTATAAATTTATTTATAATTTTTTTAAAATTTATAACAAATTTCTTTCTTACTGTTTTTATAAAAATGTTATAAAAATATTTTCATGAGAATTTATAGTTGTTTTAGACAAAATAATTTTTATATTATCAAAATATTCGATAAAGTTTTCATATTTTATGTAACTTTCATGACAACCCATCGTAATTGCTGCAACAAAACGAGAGTTGACTGACTCATTGACTTCCTTTATGTATTATATCAAAGTGAGAAATAGTCAAATTGTGTATAGATTTTTCTTTCCCAAATAATTAAAATTTAATATATTCTTAAGCATGTCAAAAATTAAAATTGAAACTACATTTTTAAAATACATTTTCAACTCAATGCTCTGAGAGATAATTGTTGTTAATCTGAAATTTTAAAGATAAATACAAACAAGTTGTCCAGAAAACTTCATTTATATCACTTTTGAACAAATTTAAAAAATTAAAAAGATATTATTAATATTTTCTTTTCAGTATAACCTCTCTTACTCTTTCTCTCTCTCTCTCTGTACATATATATTAAAATTCGTTTTCTTTATCTTAATGAAGTGAACCATGGGGGGTACATTGGTCATTAATAATAATGAGTGTTGTGAAGAATCACCATGTGGTTTTCAGAATAAAATGAAGTCTGTTTGGATTATTAGGAAAAAGCTCCTCTTACTTATTATCTTTTAGTGTAGAATTAAATTCATATTATTGGATTGATAGCCTATAACATGATGTCATCTTTGTCTTATCATTACACTCTTTTGACTTATAATTTATACATTAATGACATAATTAAGGAGGATTGTTAATTGCCAATTAAGAATAGTGATTAATACATTTTTAATATATTTATTATTATTATTATGATTACTATTATTTTGTATGAAAAAAATATATTGTTGGTTTTAAAATTTTAGTTCTTTTCGATTTTATCATTTACAAATGTTTTGTATATAAATTAATCTTAAACTATATATATTATATACAAAATAATAATTATATTTTTTAAAAATGAATATAATTTATTTTATTAAAAGTATAGATGTATTATATAACAAATTTAAATAAATTTATTAATATATTTGTATTTTTTTATCAATTTTTTTAACAATCCGAATCTAGTGTCAATAACAATTAGCAAAGATTTACTCATGTTGATAATGGTTGTGTTACTTATTTTGGGGCGAACTATAATAAGAAAATATCTTTGACATCGAAATACTTTTATTTCCGACAATGAAAAAAAAAAAGGACGAAAAAAAGTGATAATTTCACATATGTAAAAATAAATTATGAATTTAAGGTAAATTTTCATCTTCTGTAAAGAAAGATAAAAAAATTTAAAAACTTAAATACAATTAACATAATTGATTATATAAACAAATGTTCATTACGTCCAGAATATAATGTTTTAAAAAAATAATTAATATTTGTTATTATCATAATAAATAGTTAAAAAATAATATTAAAAATATATTAAAACAATAAAAATTATTAATAATAAATACTTTTATTTACTTTTTACTAATTTTTGTTCTTTTCCCTTAATTTAAATAATTTTTTTTCTCAACTCTTTGACATCCTCAAATACACTATTCTATCCAAACCCACAAGTTTATATAATTATCCATCAAGAGAAACGGAAAGAGGAAAAAAAAAAAAACCATGGGCCTCATGACACGTGTTATCTTCCTTATGACCAAGATATGATGGGCCTGATAGTGCCATTTTTATTAAAAAGGATGTACTTTTGTTGATGGACTTGTAAGAGTTCAAGGGCTATCCAACTACTGTAAATAAGACACCCAGTCCCGTCCTGGAAGGGAGATTAGGTAATGATTGTATTTTTCAACTTATTGAGGGTGTAAATATATTTCAAATGTTCATCAAATCAACAACAGATATATCACATACAAAATATATGAGAATTTATTATTTTAATAAAGACTAATTATACCAGATAAAGAAATACATTTTATTAGTTTTAATTTTTAAAATTAAAAAAATAAAAATAATTTTAATAAAACAATTACAAACAATACAGTTTTTAATTTTTAAAAACTTGAAAATTAAAAGCTGTTTTTGAAAACATGAAAGCAACAAGTCCTCCTTTTTCTCCTCTCCCTCTACAAAACCTTTCACACAAAAAGTTTTGACTTCATTTTCACTCCATCTGAATATGTCTGTACTACATTAGCTCACGAAGAAGATGGTTGAATTGAAGTGATTATTATTAAACTAAATATGGTTGGAGTTATATGCCAACATGCGATTAAAATACAACGTACGACTTTGATAACAATACGAGTCCATGTGGGTACACTTCACCTGCAATATAGGATTTTGATTTTATTGGAAGCTTCTTCTTCCATACTCTCACATTACAGGAATTCTAAATCAATTCTAGAATCATGTTATTTGTAGGATAAATTCTCTAACAAATGTTAGAACAAGTGTTGTGATATTCTGAATAATACATCTCTAAAGGTTACCAGAACACATTTAAAGAGGGAAAAACATGAAAGTGACATAGACTAGGTAGTATGGTAGTTTTGTGTGTTTCTAGGTGAAAAACAGAATATACAAATCATTATTTTGGTTGGCTACAACTTCCAAAAAGAAAGAATAAGAAGTAACGAAGTGGAGAGAGGTATACATATAAGAATGGTTTTCAGATTTATTGGATTGTGCTACTCCATGATTCCTTAGTCTGATAAATTGCTTTGTGAGGCTACACTACACAGTGTTGTTGATAAAAATTTATGCCTATATTATGTATGTGTATGGTGGGTTATTGAGAGTTGCAATGAATCATGACCAGGTGGCATCATCACAAGGGAAACAACCCTCTTGTGCAGTGTCTGAAATTTGAAGGCCAGAGTCATATATGACTCCATTTTTCCAATCAGCAGGTAGAACGTTCTTTGCCCAGATCCACTTTCCATCATACCCTGCTGTTACCACAAACCGAAACTGCAATGCACCTTCTGGTACCCTACTTGTGTCCCACACTGCCCCATGGTTTCTGCTCATGAAGCTCCAATTTGAGGACCCAACCTAATCATGAAGATTGTAACCCACCAAGCCAATGTTAAATTTTTTTTATTCAAATCAGAAAACAGAAATACTAATGATGTTTTGTGTCTGACAACACACCTGAGCCACATCAACGGCTCCTATCTCTGTTTGACCTCCTTGGTACAAAAATTTAATTGCTAAATAATCAGGCTTCTTGCTTGATTCTTCTACACGGATCGCCAGATTCTGATTTTTGTAATCACAAGGTACTCTGCTCCATTAAACACACAGGAAAAAAGTGTCAGCATTCTATCTGATGCACCATAAATGTTTATGCATTACCATTATGTCAAACTTGACCTTATCTAATTACTTCCACTTAGCAAAAGCCACATAGTAAATTAAAATTAACATTGGGTCGTGAAATATTTGACTTTATACATTGCATTATTATTATAAATACAAAGACATTAGACATTAGACCGTTACTGTTATTAAAGTGGCACATGATTGAGGTAGGGATTCATTATATTAAAAGGTTGGTCCACAATGATTGTTCTGTATAGGTGGTGGGTGGGCCGATGGCGCTGGCCGGTAGGTGGGAAGTGGGGACAGACCAAAACCAGTGGCAAAGAAAGGAAAAAAAGGAAAAGGATAAAACTTTATCTAAAACTGAAGTGATTTAAGCCTACCTCTTGTGTTCAATGTCAAGAATGCCAAGTTTCAATATTTGTTGGCTCATGCCCTTCTGAGCCAAGGCTGAGAAGGCTCTGCTGCTGAGCACAAAGTCAGTTCGATTGTCGTGATTAAGATCAGTCAATACCACTCTGGTACCCACTTTGCTGCAAACACTTGAGTTCTTGCATCGTATCTGTAACACACCATCCATTAATCACAGAAGAAGAAAATGTCAAGTAATTACATTAGTAATGATGGAAGTAATATAAGAAAAGTTAACAAATGAAATTTGGTTGTACATGGTCAAATGATTTGCATACACACCTGAAAGCACGCACCACAACCGGCTCCATTTTTGAAGAGAGAGGCCACACCAGCAGCAAGGTGTCCACCACTTATGTCTAGAGCCAAAGACCCATACCCACATGCCCCAGCTAGTTCATACATAAAATTCACACAATAAACTAGTAAGATCATTCTATTTGGTCTACTCAGAGATGGGAATTGAAGATAATTATTATAAGATGAATGATGAATGTTGTTACATGAAAGAGCAGAAGCTTTGGAGAAATAGGAAGCCTTGGATTGGTGCAGGCAGCGATCGCAAGCAGTGGCAGAAGAAGCAACAAGGGAGAGGATAAAGAGGAAAAAGAAAGCCATGTATATGTGAATGTAATGTGTTGGATTTTTACTCGTTTGGAGGATGAGTTCAGAACTTGACTTGTTTGGGTGAGAAAGAAAGGGGAAGAAGCTAAGTATATATATATTTGGAAGGTTTCAGAGGAATACTATTAAGTAGGTGACAGGTCAGCATTTTAAAAAAAGGTTGCAGTAACAGATAAGAATGAAAGAAAAGAGACACGCACTCGGTTAACGCGGCTGCACATAGAAACTAAATGGGATGGATCACTTTCTCACTTCACTCACCGACTCTGCACATCAAACAGCTGTTGGTGAGTGAACGTCAAAACGTGTTCTTTTATTTTCTTTTAACTGTAAGGTTAAATAGTGTTTTAAGTTATTAATATTATTTAATAACTTTAATTGGGTACATTGAGTTAGATAATATAAATCTATCCTTTTAAGTTAAATTAGGTTGTAACCTCTTTGATGTCGAATATTCATGGGAACCTGATTGATTACAAGGTTATCATAATGTTTTTGGTGCCAAAACTTTTTCACACTTTCGGAAGTTCCTTTCCTACTACCCTTACCTTTTGCTCTCGCAGTGGAAGGAACTACTAATCTAAGCTTAGAAGATAGAAGAAGAAAAGAAAAAGGTTGATTTAACTTTTTTGGGAAAAGAAGATGCATTATTAAATGCTTTAATTAGTTAATTAATTAGCTTTAGTCACCTAAGGGGCTATAGTCAATGGCTTAAAAATCACACGTTTGAAGGGGACAAATAAAATCTTGGGTGGCTATAATCTACTACAGCTGTTCATCACTCCAAGGTGGGAATCAAGAACGCAATAGAAGAAAAAGAAAAAACAGAAAACGAGGTAATGTGGCATGTTGGTTGATTTTTTTTTTTAAAGGTTTCCGCGTAGGGCGTTCGAGAAGACAAAAAGAAATGAAGCTTTTAAGAAGGTGGAGATGGGAAATGATTGTTTGGTTGTTCATTAGTGGGAATTCAGGAACAAAGTTTACAACTCACAACCCATTTGCTAAGCAACAATACAACCAAACACCATCATATATATCTTTGATTCGTTATGGTCTGTATCTTTTAGGGTTAATTTCTTATTACCACTCCCTATTATTAGCCTAATCCTTGATTAGAGGTGATAGCCACCAAAATAATCCTGTTAAGACAAGAGGAGGAACGATGGAATTCTTTATTATTAGAAATTTGATAATATTTAGGGATGAGAAAATAAAATAAGGCTTGTGAGTTAATTTCATAGGACAGTTAAAAAATTGGTGGAATAAATTAATAGTTTTAATTTATTTTAGTTAGTCTTGCTTAATTCACTAATACAAATAATGAAAGATTAACGTGTTAGTACGTTGTAAAAATTATTTATATATTAAAATTAAAAATAAAAAAATTATATTTTTATCATGTTATTAAAATATATAAATATATTATAATATTATAATTTAAATTATAAATATTAATTAATTAATTAAATTATTAATTATAATTAGTTAAATATACATATAATAATTTTTTTAATATTTTTAGTCAAAATATTAATTAATAAATATATTTTTTAAATTTATCTAATAAAAATATTAATTGATAAATAAAAACATATAAATTATTTTTAGGTATATTTTTATAAAAATATATATAAAAAAATTTATATGAAAAAAATATTGACCAACTAGTAGATTAACCATCAATCCACCTTTTGATAGATAATAGTTCATTTGATTATGACGTGATTATGATGGGATATTATTTTTAGTGGAATAGAGATATTATAAGATAAAATTAGGCTGAGTAGTTTGTTTCTCATTTTTAACTATATTATTTTCTCATAATAATTATTATATTTAGTAAATAAATGATTAAATAAATTATGATTAGTATTTTTTTTATTATTATTTACAAAATTAGCTTTAAGAATGATAGAAACATCTAGTAACAATAAATATATAAGCTATATTATCGGTCCAGAAATAAATGTTAGAAGAAATTAATTAACTAAAAAGCATAATCGTTAACTTTAATTAATAACGCGATGACTCAAAAGTTTACTTATTAGTATTAAATAAGACAAACTAAACATCAAAAGTCTATGCCTATCATAAATTGAATAAATGTATCGTAAAGAAAGAAAATAATGTAAACTTCATGGATCCAGCAAAATAATATTTAATGGAACAATATATAAAAACAATCTAGAAAAAAAAAAAAAACAAGAAACCCGATAAGTTAACATAGTTCAATATTTCTTACCCATAATGATTAATTAAGTGTATTGATCTGTTAATGATAAAATAGTTAAAATTTTCAATTTTATTTATTAAGTGCTCAATCATGTTTATATTTTATAAACACACAAAAAAATTAGAGGGTCAAAATATTCTTTCGTGATTACAATTTAAATATATTTCATACATAACAATAAATAAATATGTATTTTTTAAATAAATATATTGATATAGTTTAAAACTTTTCTGATAAATATATTACGCTAATAGAAACAGAATAATTAATTTAAAGAAAAAATGGAAAGAAACAACAATTAATTTATTGAAAGAATATATCAACATTTATTTTTTTAAATAGTTATAATCATTATTTATATATATTATTTAGGGTTTTAAGAATAGAATTACTATCTAAATTTTGTCACTTGAAAAATGAGAGTATTGAAAAAAAAAAAAACTTCTCAGTATATTTCTTCAAGTTTCGATCATTTATTTTTGAATTTCGTATACAAAATTTCTATTTTTGTGTTTTTCTTTAAAAACATATTTTATTTTCTTTCATACTTTTTTTTAGAACTTTAAGAGAGAGTTAAAAGAGATGCTTATAAATATAAATAATATTTTATGATGCTTTTCACGTCTAAATGATTTAAAAGTAAATAAAATCACTTGAAAGTAGAAAGAACGGTTTAAAATTAAAAATAAGTTATTTATATCAATAATTTTACCAAATTTTAAATAACTCATAATATAATATTTAATTTCATTTTTAAATAACTGTTAATAAAAATTTCTTTTAAAAATTATCTTAAATCTTAGGTTATGTATTCTTTTAAAATTATTTTTTATTTAAAATTCCAGAAAAAAAATTATATTGTAGGATGAAGAACTTACACAACACACTCTAAATAAATAAGTATTTAAGAAAAGTGATTATAAACTTCTCAATAAATATTATTCATGTTCCCTTTTTAAAATAATAAATAAGGTTATAACTCATTGACACTTATAACCATTTATTAAATTATACTTAAACTTGTTTTTCTTTATTTATTGAGCCTGGCATAAAACTTAAAAAGAATATATGTAAATTTCAATCAAAAAGGCTTTTTATTGGTGTAATAATTCATCACCATGGTTTCATATTAAATATAGAAAGAAAAGGCAACACAATTTTTAATTGTTTTCCTTTGGGTAGAAAATGACACCATTGTTTGTTGCAGGTGCTATATCTATTTTCATAATCACAAATAAATATGTGGTATTTATTGGTTGTTCATAATCTTAATCATGCATGGATCACAATCCCGTAAGCTTGTTTCAGAGTCCCACCACAAAAATTTACAAACCCTAATATTCGGAACGCTCTCTGAATCTAATACTTTCAGAATTTAAAAATTTCTAATAAAATTTTATAATATAATAAATTTATCGATAAGAATTAAAAAAAAAATTATTATTATTATCATCCTGAATTATAATAAAACTATAAATATAAAATATATAATAAAAATTATAAATATAAAATATATTAAACATTAAATAATTTTTAAAATAAAAATAATTATTTAAAATTAGTGTAATAAATATGAGATAAAAAAATAAAATATATTATGTTTTTTTATAAAAGATTTATATTAAAAAATTAGTTTAATTTTATCGATTCAATAAAGCTAAAAACTCAACGAATTTTTTATTTTTTCATATTTAATTAAAATTCGATAATTTAAAAATAATGTACCTATTTATAAACCGGTTCTAGATTAAATCAATTGAAATTACCGATTTAGTTCGGTTTTAAATCAGTAATTAACGTAAAAATCACTGCAAGCAAGATTTTAAATATCAAACTATAATGAAAACTGAGATTGTATATTCAAGATAACAACAACCAATAATTTATATTTTATTCCCATATTGTTTTAATGTAATTAATTAACATGTAAAAATAACAATAATAAACATATAAGACATTGAAAATTGTAAATGTAACCTAAATTATATTTTTCTAAAATGTGATTATAACTAATACATTGCACAAAATAAATAACCAAAATTTATTATACTTTTTTACTTACACGCTGTAAAAACTATTTAATTTAGTGGGAAATTTGTATTCAATCTTTGTCATTTGTAGAAGCTCATGAAAATTACGAAAGTCACAAAAACTAAATTGAAATTAGACCCTGATCAATAGGTTAGACATTAGGAAATGATTGTGATTTTTTGTTTTACTACAATAGTAGAAAGACAGACGCTAAAATGTCTATATGTCTCATTCTTTTATATTATTAATTTTACTAATTTTTTTTCTACTCTTTAAATACATCTATATTCTTTCTTTTATCATATTATTATTCTTTTCTTCTTCTTCTTCTTCTTCTCCTTAATAATAATAATAATAAATAAATAAATGACTTTTAATCCTAGTCCACTAGAAATAAGCCCAATCCTCTGATAAGAACTGTTAGCCCAAATATTTTATAGCAAGGGATACGAACAAAAGGAATGAAAAAGGTTTAAATATAGCTTCATATTTTTGGTAGCCCAAAAGAAAGCAAAAGCTGAAAAAATAAGACTTTCTCCCCGCATCACATATTCTCTTTCCAGTATTCCATATTCATCTAAAATAATAATATTATCCATAATATAAATAGGTTTTTGAAAGTTTACTTTGGGATTACAAATTTATTCCGAAACATTTACAGATAGCTTTCAAAAATGTGAATCTAAAAAAAATTTCAAAAATTAATTATGAAAAATACAATTAAAAAATGAGTTCACATGGTAGAATGTATTTTCAGGAAACAAATTTTAGAAAATACAATTTAAAAATAAGCTCTATTTATACTTGAAACTCATTTTGGATTGTGTTTTTAAGAAATATATTTCGGATTAAAAAATTTAATATATTACAAATACAAATTAAATACGTTTTATGTATAATTTTTGAACGCATAACATGTATACTATTCAAAGCATGACTCATCAACAAATGTTTAATCTTAAACGAAGGTACAGGAGGTGCAATAAATAAAGGTGTAGGTATTGATTCAGAGATGTGTCATAGAAGAGGAAAATTGGAGGAAGAGGATATTTTGGATATTTTATATATATTATAGATAGTCGAAAATCTAAAATAATAAGTAAGAGTTAAATATATAAGATTAGAATAGATAAAATAATTTTTTTTAAATACTTAATAATCATTTTAACAAAATCAAAAAATACACGTATACACATCCTCTCTCTCTCTCTATATATTTATTTATTTATTGAAGTCCGCCCTGATTGTAGACCTAGGCGGAAAAATATTGGGACGGAAGAAGATGCAACCGGAAAAAAGGCCTCTTCTGCTCGCAATCTTTGCAGGCCCAATTCACTCATTTTCAAAACTTGGCGAATATAATCATATTTTCAGAAATCTTGATTTCAATTTATTTTAAGATTATATCCTTTTTATTCCTCCCGCTCCTACTGTGATATATTACTCTTTCATACTTATTTATACCATCAGTTTTTTTTAGAATTTTAATTTCAATAACTAGTAAATATAAAATTAATAGTTGAAATAAGACAAGAGAATGGAAAATGATACAAATACCCTAGTTTTTTTTTTCAGTGAGAGATAATAATGTACAATTTCATTGTACCTATGTGTGTTTTTTATCTAGTATGGGTGAATTTCATTCTCATTCAAGTAGATTCGGTTTCAAAACAGTGAGATTATGATTTATTTGTAGTTTTAACTATAGTAATTTGTGTTCATCTAATATAAATTTTAAAATATAAAGAATAGAACATATATAAAAAATATTATTATTATAATAATAACATGTTCATCTAAATTTCAGATGCTATTTAAAAAAAAGGTTATAAAATCAATTAAAATAAATTATTAAGTAAATTGTATCAAGTTTCTTTAAAATAAGAAAATGATAAGGTCGAGTAAAAGAAAAAAGAAATAGATTAATCGGAAGAGTGCACGTAACTATCATAAGAGTTGTTCCGTTTAATCTAATTGTTTAATGATTGTTCTTAGAGAAGTTATCTTTTAGAATTAAAACCTGTTTTTAAATAATTTTTTGCTCCGTTGACTTTTCCTTTTATAGATAGGTTAATATTTAAAATGGAAATTTAGAAAGAAGCATTTTATTTCTCTTATTATAAAAAATATTTGGCATTTTATCTTTATCAATTATGATGACATCAATGCGAATAATCTCATCTCATCCACATTATTAATAAAATAAATAATTTTCATTTAAAGTAAAGATTTTTAACATATATGTTGATAAATCTTATATAGTTTAATGGTAATTTATACAGAATTTTTCTTTTTAACCTACTAAGACACGCTTTAAAAATAAAATCCAAATAGACAAAAACTTTAGAATGGATAATACAACTCATCTATCTTTACCAATAACTTGTATTCCATTGGAAGAATATGAAAGATGGAAGAAAATTGTGACACAATTATCATCAAAATTGTGTGTATATGCCTCCCTTTATATAAACAATTAGCCAAGCAACGTTATCAATGGTAGACAGGCCATTTGATGTATTAAACACTTGATACACATATAACTGTTTTTATCTTGTTTTTTGTTCACATTCATGCATCTTACAAAAGTGTATAACGATGTGTGGATTAATCAAAGATACAACATCTTTGTATTATTTAGGTATATGTTACATCCAGGCCAAGTCCTTGATTGAAGGGGTTATCTAAAATGTTCATTTATGGTTCATGTTCGTCCTAATAAGAAAACGATCTAGCATGCATCTTAAGCTTTTGTGGCAAGTGTGTTTAGGAATCAATGAACTACAATGACATTTCTCTGTCATCAATATTATGTCTCGTAGACCAAACAACAAGCCCAATTCCTGTTATGTGGTTTCTGCACGATCACACATGGCCATGCACCATATCAGCACAACACCCCATATACACTACCAGATGGTGCTGTCTAATTTTGTGAGTATAAATACCAGAACAAGTGAGATCCCGTGATCCCATTCAATTCTGCATCACATCCTGTATCACACCACCGTTAAATTTGCATCAACACTAACAATGATAAGTGCAAAGAGGCTTATTGAAATGGCAAGAAAGTGGCAGAAAATGGCTGCGGGAAAACGCAAGAGAATTTCATACCCTAGACACCATAATCTTGACCATGCTCGTTCTTCAACAGCAAACAAGGGTCACTTCGTGGTTTATACCGTGGATCATAAGCGATTCGTGGTTCCACTCAAGTACCTTAGCACCAACGTGTTCAGGGAGCTACTGAATTGGTCCGAAGAGGAGTTTGGGTTACCATCCAATGGACCCATTACCTTGCCTTGTGATAGGGCCTTCTTGGAGTACGTAATCTCGTTGATTCGGGAACATGTTCCCGAAGATGTTGAGAAGGCTTTGATCACTTCAATGGTTACATGTCACCACGTGGCATCATCCTCATCATCATCTTCTTCTTCTTCGCATAATAATGGTCTCATGCAGAGTAACAGGCCAATGATTATTTATTGAAGCCATTTTGATATTTGTGTATACAAAATTAAAATTAAAATTAAAAAATATGGATTTTAGTCTTATAGAATCTCTATTGCTTGTTCTCGTGCTTCATAAATAACCAGTTTTGTCATTAAATATGAGAACGAATTGAAGATTCGAAGAAAGATTTCCTGAATATATGCTTCAGAACTTCCTCTCACCGTTCATATATTTATCTATGATTCTACATACAAAACAAATAAGCAATATCAAAGTTCAGACCACTGCAGATGAAGCCGAAAAAACCTACATTATATTAGTTGATCATACATTTGATCATAAAAATTAACAAATTAATTGATTGATTAGTATCTCAGAAAAAACACTGCAACACTAAGTGAATATGAATTTTAAAAGCCGTGATGGGAAAGTACGGAATTTTCTTCTATTATTAGTTACGGCACTGGTTGGTGGGTAGAGATTATATATGAGTCTGAAGGAGTCCACTTCAATTGATGTACTCTTCACCACCACACATAATTATCTCTGTATTGATTCGATTAGATAATATAGGAATTCTCAAAGTTACATCAATTTAATTAAAATTTATAAATCTGAGGTACGCAAAAACTCTCAGATTAAACAAACTAGAACGAAAACTTTACTTTTCTTTGATTTTAATATGTATTAATTATAAGATTTAAAACTTTATATAGAACTAAACGAGCTGTGTTTTTCTATAACTAAACAGCCTATTAATTAATATATAAAAAATAAACAAACTGAATTGAAAACCTGGATTTATCCGTTGTGATTCAAATAATTGGCTTGAACAATTGACAGTGAATGTTATTGTCTCACCACACACAAAACAAGTGGACACTATTGAACTATTTTCTTAACTTTTGATGCTGTGAAAATTGAAAAAGTAGTCTTGAGTATGCATTTGATTTAGCCATGAAAATGTTGTGGGAGACAGTTCAGAAATAATTAAGGGTCCGACATGACCCGTTTCCTTGCGTTTTCCATTTGGCCCATCACCATAATGACTCTCACTTGTCCATTAGTCGGTAAATGCCTACAAACTTCACAATCAAAGACATGACCACATGCTCCACCATTTGTAGACTCTTCTCCAAAGTAAATCCAATAATGTTCATTTTTCCTGTGGTTCTTGGCCACCATTCGGTCCTTCTCCAATCCAATAAACCATATCGCAAGTGGGTAGTCACAGATATTGCATACACCCCAAAATAATTTGGGACATACTCGATAAGTCCATTCCCTAAAGACCACAACAAAAGTCCATGCATGCATGCATGCATGCACCCTTCTAAATTATGATTCTACTACACATTTGTGTTCACGTCACATGGTTTCGCTTCCTCGTAAAAGCAGGCACAATATCAGCAGCATTCAAAAATTTGTCTGTGGACCTGTGATTATATTTATATATAAAGAACCAATAAGGATTTATTAGATTCCCATATCCTATACTTCATCATCTGATTGCAAGAATGATTAGTTCAAAGAAGATCATCCAAATGGCTTGGAAGTGGCAGAAAGAGGCCACGAATTACCAAAGGAAGAGAATTCTATGGCCCAAGACTCAAGAAAATGCAGCAAAAGCAGAAGGTTGCAGCAGCGTGTGGACGAAGGCTGAAAAGGGTCACTTTGTTGTGTACAGCATGGATAAGAAGCGCTTTGTGCTTCCCTTACTGTATTTGAAAAACAACATCTTCACAGAGCTTTTCAAGTTAGCAGAAGAAGAGTTTGGTCTTTCAAGCAACGTGCCCCTAACGCTGCCTTGTGAAGCGACGTTGATAGAGTACGTGATCACGTTGATCGACAAAAACGTAACCAAGGATCTGGAAGAAGCCGTGTTAATGTTCATAGCTACTACTCGATGCCAATCGTCCTTTGATCTTCATCGTGAACCAACCAATCAACATTTGCTTTGCAGCTTCTGAACCATTATTCTTAATTTGCCTCATTTATTTGTTCTTTTATATCTCTTAACCAATTCTTTGAATTCATTTTTGCTATCCAGTTTGACAAAATGTATCGATAAACGAATTATACGTTTATAATTCGAATACCATTCATTCTATAATGTATGTGCTTTGGGATTTATCAATTAAGCGTTCTCAACTCTTGATATTTGCTTCAACCATACAACGACGTTTATTTACATATTTTATATTATGAAACAAAAATATTTTTGGAATTATTTATATTATTTTCACATTTTAATTACTTATATAAATATATATATTTAAAAGTGCTGCTACTGCAAACAGTGTTTCTTTTTGAATGGTTGTTGGCATGTCAACATCCAAATCAAAGTCACACATATTATATCTTAATTGAGGAAGTTGACCACCTAATCAAACTGAAGCAATTTTTTTCTTCTTATTATTAATATAAACTCATCCATCAAAATAATTAAACAATATGATATCACTATTCATAATAATCATATAATTGTTATTAATTTATTTAATTATCATCTTATTAAATATGTATTTGAACAAATCAGACCCAACTGTTCAACCAGTTCCAACTTCGGGGAAACTTTTCTCTTAAAAGTGGACTTTAGTGGTTGGTTTGTCCTCCAAAACCACAAGGTGGTAGATGTTAGCATAAATATTGGGCCAAAATATACTGTCACGATAAAGTCTTTTAAAAATAATAAAAAGTATATAACATGTCAGAAGTGGGATTTGAACCCACGCCCTCGTAAGAGGACCAGAACTTGAGTCTGGCGCCTTAGACCACTCGGCCATCCTGACTTTTGTTTAATAAGATTAAACTTAAATTTTAAATTATATTAAAAAATTTATAAAAAAATTACCAAATACTTTTTTGTTAAGAATTCAGAACATGCCCAAAATCTTTATTTTCCACTTCTTTTTAACAAAACTTAAATTACATTCCTGTAGCATTTATCTTTTCAAAACCTCTTTTTTATCAATATTATATACAAAGGATTTTTCATTTTTATAACTATTTTTATGTTATCAGGAATATATATATATATATATATATATATATATATATATATAAATATAATTTTCCTATTTATTTTAACTATATATATTATTCAATTTTTTTATTTAGAATATAAAATAATAACAAATATTATTTTTTTCATAGTTTCTCAATTACATGCTTTTTTTTAACAAAATTTATCTTTTCTTAATATTCCGGGCATATTTATTTATTTCTAATAATTTATATATTTATATTTTAAAATTAATATATACATTAAATTTTCATAAATTAAAATAAAAAATATAATTGAATGCGGACAGCATGCGCATATGTGTATGTGTCTCCACTAATTATATATAAATGGGTGTTCTTTCTAACTTTTCTTTTTTTAATGTAAAATAATGTTATAATTTAAAGAAAATATAGTCAGTTATTATGATCTATATATTTTAAAAATATTAAAAATATAAAAAAATGGATATACTTAAAAAATAGGAAGAGAAAATAAAATAATATTTTAAAATTTAATTATAAAAAATAAACACACATATATTTTAATATTTGTATGTTTATAACTAATAATAATAATAATATAATTTTTATTTAATTTTTTTAAATATATTCTAAAAATATTAAACTATTTAAATATTAAAGAATATAATCTAAATATAATACAAATTTGAAATTAAAAAAAAAATGAGACCTAGTTTAATCCAATCAGTTGATGCGAGTCCGTTAGGTAGGTGAAATAAAGAATGTTTAAATATGCCAAATGAAAATTAATATTGAGTATTTAACACTACAATAATATCTTAGAACTTTAAATATATGAAGTTAATATTTCCTATTATAATAATAATTTTAATTTTGAAGATGGTATTTTCAAAATATATATTGTAATGGTATGTTCCGTGGATAAAATCACCTCTTTCTAACCTGTGTCCTTTTTAATAAAAAAAATCGTCACATTTTTTATTTACAGGTTAAGTTAAACTCAAATTAAAAATAAATATAAAAATTGAATATTATGATGATTTTTTATTAGAGAGAGAAATGAAAATATGTCTTGGTTACATACACTTCGAAATATATTATTTTAGTCTTTTAATCTAAATTTAATGCTTAGTAATGAATTTTTATAATATTAAATATAATTTAGTTAATTTTAATATAATAAAATGATTGGAATTATATATGTTTTAAAATTTGAGAGCTAATTATATTTTTAAAATTATATAAAAAAATAATAATAAATAAATACATGGTTGCGAGTAGATAAAGACCAAATTCATTTTCCATAAAAACAAGCAGAATCAAATTCAACTTCTTCAAAGTGAAAAATTAAATAAGATGAGAAGTTGGTGTGTGCATGCACTTTTCTCTCTCTATGGATTATTTTATTAAATAATAAATAAAATCAAATATAATATCTTCTCTCTGTAAATTATTTTATTAAAAAACAAATCAAATCAAATATAAAAAATCAAAGACATTTTGTAGTTTTAATTTGATAAAAAAATTGAATCAAAACAAACAAATATTTCGTGATATGATATAGAAAATACTTAATTTTTGTTTTTTAATACTGTAAAATGATTAACTATTTTTTATATAATAAACAAACTTTAAAACATGTTTTATAAATATATTTGTTGTGTTTTCTAAAGTTTTCTATGTTTCGCATTATTTGATTCTGTGCTTCATAATTTGTATTTTTCATGATGTATATGGTTTTGCTTGTATCTCTGATTTATTAACACGTGGTACACATGAGAGTCAATTAATTCAAAATGTGAGTGCCAAAATGGGAAGAGGAGAAGTATGACGGATTGAATGACTTCAGATTATGGAATTTGGAGTTGCAATGTTAAACAAATATTTGACAAATGCATTGGATGTTGACAAAAGTAGTAACCTTGTTAACTTTGATATTTCTCCTATGATTATTTCTATACCATAAATTATGGAACAACCTTGTTAGAATAATAATAAAAAACAATGTATCTTTACGTTGATACATACAATGTTTGGTTGTACGGCGAAAAGAAAAAAAAATTAAAAAATATGAAAATAATGGATATAAATAATATAATTTCATCCAATTTATTTTTTAGGTCTTCACTCATCTTTATATAATTTAATATGATTTGATCCAATTTTTTTAATTTACTATAATCTATTTTGATCGGATCTAATCTTATAATTTTTTTTTTCAGATTTCCTTTAGTTTGTCATTGTCCATTTTAAGTTAAATATAATTTAAGATAATTTTGATAAGTTTTGTATCTTATAGTAATTAAAATACTTTATAAAAAAAAATTCAATAAATTTAAATTATCTTATTCAAATAAATAATTTTAAATAAAAAATAAAAATTTATTGTATTTTAATTTTCTTATAAATTATAACATATCTTACCCAGATACAATATTCCATGTCTAATATGTCGACTTAGTTAATTTAAGTTGAGATGAGAAAAATTAACCTATCATTTTTACTCTCAAGAATATTGAAATAAAAAAAATAATTTTAATTTAATGGATTATAATTTTTTTTATATTGTTCGAAGATTCATATATAATAATACTATAATTTAAATAATAAATATTTATAAATTAAATATAAATTATGGATTATAATTAATTATTTAGTATTTATAATATATATATTTTTAGTTATATATATAATTTGTGATTAAATAATAGTATAAGATAGATAAATATATTTTTAAAAATCAGTAATCAGTAATCAATATTATATATATTTAATAAATTTATCAATAGTTGAAATATCTATCGCTTTCAAAACATGTAAAATATTTACTTTAATCAAAATGCTGATGAAATGTTGTTGATTAAAATAACAAGAGATCAACAATAGTTATCAAAACAACTTTCAAATACAAAATATAAATAAAAAAATATCTTAAATGTAAAAACTCATACTAAATCAGAGCTTGGACAAATTACCATCGCAACATAAATGAAAACAATCTCAAATTTAACAAAAGGTATCTTACAAGTAGATTTACTTTAGTAAGATACATTTCATACAATATAATTAAATTTAGTAAAACGTATTTTAACTCAAAATTTGTAAGTTAGTTGGATAGTTTTGAGCATAAAAAAATTGTTTTAAAACTATTGAACAACAAGAGTTATAAAAGAAAGCTCCACTTACATTATAATAATCCTCTTTGTTAAGATCTTCTGGAAAAATGAACTTTAACATCACTTTCCATTTGTGTTGGCAAATCCAAAAGATGTTCCATTGAGAAATGGTTCAGAGTATACAGAAAAAAGTTATAAATGTAATAATGATTTCGGGAACATGCCTAGCGCGATAATGGATTCCGGGATTCACATTGTGCATTGGAAAATGTTGATGTCCACAAACAACAACTCCAATTGGTTTTCCTTCTCCACGCATTTGAAAAAAAAGTCCCAAAATACTTACACCATCCCTAAAGAAACATGCTATAATAAAAAGTTATTTAAAAATAAAAATAAATATTTTATTATATATTTGTTACATGGTTTAAAAATAAAAAAAATTATTTAAAATTTAAAAAATTATTTAAATAAACAACCCTTACTAAATTTTAAATAATTTAACTATAAATTTATAATAAAATATTTAATTTTATTTTTAAAAAATCTTATTAAAATTTCTCTTTAAAATTACTCGCAATGTCTCTACACATCATGCATTAGGTTGGTTGGTATACAAGTTTCAGGGTTTTACATTTTATCTATATTTTTCAATGTTATTTTATTAAGACGTTAAAATTTTCATAAATAATCCACAACAAAAGATTTTGCAATGGTTTTACTTTTGTAAAACTATTTTTCTAAATACTAATATTTAAAAATATCATATTTTTACCTTTTTAAGTTTTATTCAGAGAGATGTACTGATATTAAATTTAATTTATCTAATGAATATACGTGTTTGAGAATAAATTCAATTTTTATATAATTTAATGTTTAGGAGAATTTTTGGGGGCACTTATTTGTAATATATTATTTTTAAAAATTGAAAAAAAAATCCAATATTGCAATACTTAGTGAAGCTATCATAAGATTAATCCAATTTTATTTTAATCCGTCTTGATCCAAAGTTGCTACAATCTTAAGGCTACATATATTGTATAGTCTTTCTTGAAACAAAATCTACATTATCTAATTAAACAAATAACAGATAATATGTCATGTCATTATAAGATCTACAATCTAATAATTCAAATTTTATAATAAATCACTTAAAGAATATGATCTTTTTTTTAGACATTAGACAATAAAAAATATTTTTGGTCGGGTGGAATCCTTTTATTGTTTGACTAATGAATTGTATGGAATATGGCTAAAAAAATGATGAGATCAAATTGTTGGAATAAATAATGACATGTGACTCATGTGAAAGATTTTTTTATAAGATAAAGGGTGTGTTTTTAATTTTTGAGGGATTAGTAATTGATGGCCAAGTTGATGGAAGTTAAATTCATTAATTACCTGAAATGAGTTCTGTCTTTTCTACAAAGTTGTGTAGTCACTGCCATTGTCATGAAGAACCAGTACGAGAAAGAAAACAAAATGGAAGTGATTGAATGAGATTAGGAGAATTTCTATGCCTAAATTCTTCCTGGATAGAAGAAGTTCTCTGTTGTAACAATAGTTCTTTCTTAAATTTAGCAAATTATATATATATAGAAAACGTCGAGAAGATAAATTTAAATAATTAGATAAATAATTTTAAAATTTGATAATTAAAATGTACAAATTTAACCTATAAAAATATTATATGCTTTTATTTTTATAATTACTTTTATCCATTTTCCTTTCCTCCCTTGTGCATTGGGACCGTTTCCCACTAACTACAGTTTTATTGGATCAGGGTGAGTGTCCACTTTCTCCTTTTTCTTTTTAGTGTCAATCAATCAGGTCGAAAATCTTCCTAATGTCATATAACCCTAAACTTAGGGAAAAAAAAAAACACTATTTCAAATTGAAATTAAACATCAATAATTAAATATGAAAAAATAATATATAGATAAATATAAATACAAAAATATCATAAGACCCATTTGCCCTTTAAATGCATTAGCTACTAGGAAGAGTGATACAATAATTACATTATATAATAGTCACATGTATCTTCATTTCCATTAACTAATATAATTAATACAAGTGGCAATCTTTTTCTCTTAAAAAAATAAAAGGTTTGATGAAACCATTGGAATGAGTCATGCATGAGACCAGACACCTAACCAACCGAATATATGAGAAAAATTTTGTTTCTTTTCTCTTTAGTGGAGAAAAATATGTAATATGATGCGAGATTCAAAAAGCGTAATCAATTTATTGGAACAATTTTATACTCACACTCACAAATAATCTCACTACCTTAATATTAACGTATGTTATGTAATAACGCACTATAAAATATTTGATTACTTAATTATATATACATTAAAACACATAATAATTAACATTAAATAAAAAAAGATTTTTTGATGATGCAAAGCACATGATTAGTCTAACAAGAAAATGATTCACTATAATTATTAGATTATATAATACAGAGGAGACAAGAGGTGATTTAAATAGAATAAACATTTCTATGTTATACAATTCACGTGGCACTAGCTGCTTAACCGATAAACCAAAATAGGATTAGTTGAATTTGAACTCTCAAAGAAAAAAATATAAAAAAAACATAATCTTTCATTACATCATGTACTATATATAGATTTTTTGTTTGTTTCAAATGAAAACACGTTAATTAATACCAATTAAGATGGTTTCTGTTGACAACCTATTAGAATACGAATAAATTACAATAAGATCACATCTTCAAATTCAAAATTTTCAATAGTGTTGAAAACCCATCAAAACTGTATAAACAGAGGAAATAGAAGAAGACCCGTGAGTGAAGCAAAAGTCTTGGTTATCTTAATTTCCTATTACTTTTCATTTCTTTAGCAAATAACATGGCAGCCACCATGGAATTCAAAACTCTGAACTTCCAACTTGTTTGGTAGCTTCTCCTCGTCAGGGAAAATTGAACCATATATACATCCAAGTCATTTCATTTTTTTTATGCAATGCCAGAGTAAAGTAAAATTGTTCGACCTACCCGAGATTTGTAATTCAACTGGTACTAAATTGACCAAACTTTTAATTCAAAGAGAAATTTTAGTTAGGGATACCATAACATTATGAATAGAGACGTAATTAATTTGTAAGATTAGGGGTTAACATATTATATATATATATATATATATATATATATATATATATATATATATATATATATATATATATTAATATAATCTTATTTTAAGAAAAAAATAAAAATTAAATTTGGGGCGTCATGAATCCTAGAGACCTATCTTAGTTGAGTATGATCCTCATTTTATCGAATCAAATTTTTTAAGGATTAAATTAAATATTTCATCATTTATAAGATAATATTAAAGTCAATTTTAACAATATTAAAATATTTTTAATTAAGGATTAAACCACTTATTATTAGAATATATTAAATTACTCCTCCTTATATGTGTGATATAAAAAATCTTTATAAAACTAATATTAGTCACTCATCTTTGATACCTGATATGAGGGGTGTGAGGTATATTAAGAAATTAATAGAAACGTGAGTACAATATTCATAAACTGGATTGTATTAGTTAGTTCATGGTTAGTGAAAAAAAACATTAACTTTGCAAAGACTTGACTTTTTTCACCTTTATAATTTGTAATAAAAGAAAAAAATAATGATTTAATTAAAATACTGTATAGAGTTATCAAAGACGAGTTGATGATGTAAAAAACTATTTTTGAAAAAAAAAATCTAAATTATGCGTCTTGTGAGAATCTAAGGAATGAGATCAGCAAAGTGATGTCATCAATCTTAGAGTGGATTCCACGCGTTCAAATCGATGTTATAAAAGAGTTTGCAGTTTGGTTTGCTTGGCCTTCAAAGTGAAAAACGTAAAGCAGCAGTTTCTCTTCTTTTTGTTCACTGGAAAGAAAGGAAGCTTCAGTTTCTTCCTATAAAGTGTATTTCTGTAGATACTATTGCTATCGTTAGGTATACAAGTACACACACCGAATAACTGATTCACAGTAGAAATAGCTTTGGTTCATTTGGTTCACTCCAGAGATCCATTAACAAGTAGGGAAGAAGAAGAAATATGGGGGAAGTGGGTGAAGCTCAATATTTCAAATCAGAAATAGCTCTTCTGAGTTTCTCAGATGCCACTTTCAAACCCCCACTTTCTCCTCTGTTGATCCGCATTGATCCACTCACACCCAGTGGTTCTTCCCCATCGGAATCTGATCCATCGCCCATTTCCCAGCACCCTCAACAGGATCAGCAACGCAAAGACGCGTGGCTTCCGATCACTGAATCCAGAAATGGGAATGCCTATTATGCAGCCTTCCATGTTCTTAATACCAACATCGGATTCCAGGCTCTCCTGCTTCCCGTCGCTTTCGCCACTCTTGGTTGGTACGTACCTTGCACAATCACGTGATGGTTGCCAGCACCTTGTTTAATAAATTACATCAACCCTTTTTCAAAGTTATATATTACGAGTATCCCAATTTATATCTACCACCGAATCACCTTTTTCAACTCCATTACTATTTATTCGGCTAAGGTAACTATTACGACACAATCAATCAGCCTCTCCTTCCAATTCCATTGTTGTTAAGTTGTAGTGTTGTACACGTCTTCATTGGGATATTTTTCTGGTTATATACGATTAATCTTCTAGTTAAATTATTTAGTTTAAGATTCAAAACAGATTAGGTAGGTCTAAGTTTTAACAAGAAAATTAAACTCTGATAGTTTCTCTTGGTAGGTGTACATGTCAGAGTCTAAGTCTCCTGTAGAAGGAAGACAACACATGCAGAGAGTCAAAACCTGTTTGAAAGCTCCACTTAATCAACCAACAACAACCTTCACCATAAAAAAATATCAGAAGGAAGAATGACCTAGAAACATGCAAAGCCAATAAACAACCTTAGTCGACGCAAAAGTCATAGGCTGGACCTACAATCTACATGATTCATGTGTTCTGTAATGAATATCTTGGTGAAATATAAAGATTTTTATGTACTAAACAGTATGAATGGCATGCAGGGCATGGGGCACGGTATGTTTGACAGTAGCATTCCTTTGGCAGCTCTATGCCATATTTCTTCTTGTTCAACTTCACGAATCCGTCCCTGGGGTTCGTCACAGCAGATACCTCTTCCTTGCCATGGCTGCTTTCGGTAAGCACAGAAGCTTTATTTATTTTCTTTTTTAAAGTTAATATTCAACCAATAACATTCAAATATGTGTAGTCCAGAACTATTTGTCCACAGTATCAGTCAACTTTAACATGACAGACATTTCAATTTTTCAATTTACAAATATTATTAATAACTTCTTGTTAAACATTAATCTAAATTACGCGTTTCCCAAAATCATGTAATAATTAACTTCAAAACTACCTAATAATTAATGTCCCTAACGTTTACACCGTCTTGGTTATATGTCACGTAACCTTCTTTTTTTTTTTTAAGACACGTGGATTTTCATTTTAGACCTGATGTGGGTCAACAAAGAAATAAATAAAGGCTTGATGTTTGAATGAATGTACTTTTCCAGGTAAAAGGTTAGGGAAGGTGGCAGCATTATTCCCGGTAATGTACCTTTCAGGAGGCACATGCGTCATGCTTATCATCACCGGAGGTGGGACCCTAAAACTATTATTCAACACACTTTGTGACAATCATAATGGAAACACATGCGCCGCTCACGCACTGACCGGGGCTGAGTGGTTCTTGGTGTTCACCTGTGTCGCGATTCTCGTTGCACAGTTGCCAAACCTCAACTCCATGGGCATGGTATCTCTCGTCGGAGCCGTTGCCTCCATCACTTACTGTACCCTCTTTTGGCTCCTCTCCGTCAAGAAGGGTAGGCCCGACAACGCATCCTATGCCTCAACCCTGTCCCAAGAATCCACCGCGGTGGCTAAGATCAGTGACGTTCTGAATGCAATCGGAATCATCGTGCTAACCTTCAGAGGTCATAATCTTTTACTCGAGATACAGGCAAGTTTTTCCAACTTTTCAAACACTTTTATGAACACACACGAATCACCTCTTCTATACACCTTGCATGACCTCCCATGGTTCATTTCTCTCTTTTCTTTTTGTCCGTATTCGTAGCGTAACTCTTGTAATGACGTCACACATGGAGTATCAAGTCATATATTTTTTCCTTGTTGAATAAAAATGTTGTTTTGACTCATTGACGTTTTTAATGGTTTTTTATTTTTGATTTTTTGTTAGCCCTGCATTAATTTTTCAGAAATCAATTAATCGATTCGATGGTGCTCATGCTAAAAAGAGTGTCTTGGATTTTGGTTTTGCAGGGGACGCTGCCTTCAAATTTCGAACAAACATCCAGAGAAGCAATGCGCAGGGGAGTGAGCATGTCATATACACTCATTTCCTTGTGCGTGTTTCCTCTTGCCATTGCCGGATTCTGGGCCTATGGAAACCAGGCAAGCACACACACCCAACACAATTATTTCTAATAACCACCTTAAATCGATGAACTTTCCAAGATTATATTGCTTAATCAATTGACATGCACGTGTTTCAGATAAACGGTGGTGGATTGTTATATTCGTTCCCGCAATTCCACAAGAAGCAAATAACGAAATTCTCCATGGGAGCATTATACGTTCTGGTAATAATACATTGTTTGAGCAGCTACCAAATCTATGCCATGCCGGTTTTTGACAACCTTGAGATAAGATACACGAGCATAAAGAACGAGAGATGTTCGCGACTGGAAAGAACATGCATACGATTATTCTTTGGGGGGTTGACGTTTTTTATAGCAGTCACATTCCCGTTCCTGCCAAGTCTATCAGCACTGATTGGAAGCATGACCCTGGTGCCAGTCACATATGCATACCCCTGTCTCATGTTTCTATCCCTCAAGAAACCTCGACCAAGAGGTTTGGTTTGGTGCTTCAACGTTGCACTCGGGTGCTTAGGGTTGCTTCTCAGTGCTCTCTTGGTTGCTGCAGCTGCATGGACTCTAGCTCACAAAGGCTTAAATGCTAACTTCTTCAAACCATAATACCCAAACCTGCTTGCCAATTACCAATCATTTAATTGTTTGCATATGCCTCACCCACTTTATCCAATATAATCTCCTTAGTGATATGCACAAAATCATTTTTGAACATGTAAATATACTGAGGTTTTAGAAAGAAAAAATACGCTGCAAAAGTTTCGACAGACTATATTTCGTCCGTTAGCACTCAAATTCTTCGTTTATTTTTTTTCCTGACTAACTTTTCATTATCATATCATTGTTCTCTCGTCTATTTCTTTTTTTCTTTTAAGGTTTTACGCCAATTTTTTTTTTTTTTTGCTAGAACAAGTTATGAGTAGTTTATTACATTTTCTTATCTGTGTTGGAGTTCTTGCGGTTGATCTTCCCCTGTCTCAATCCATCTTTCCCTTTTCAACTTTTCCCGGGTGGCTGAACATGCATAACTGCGGGGGGCCACCAGAAAACACCATAGATTTTACAATAATTTTACAATCAAAAGAGAAAAAATAATGGAACAGAAACATGTGATAATGATATTATAGAGATATAGGGAAGAAAAAAGATAGCATAAGATATTAAAAAAAGTATATTTTTTTATAAATAGAAACAACGTAAGATCAACGTTACTTTTTAAGACATAGAACTCAATCATAACTGGAAATAGAACAGGGAAAAAAAAATTAAGTCACATTTCATTATAGCGCTTAAGGATCTCAGAAAAATAAAAGTATCAAAGAGATATAGATCTTGGTAACAACCGACCAAAAGCTATTGTTACGTATCACAACCGGCTGAACCCGCTCGAGATTGGGGGATTAGTTAGATTTTTTTTTTTAATAAATACGACTGAATCACACTATTAAAACGTAATAACATGGTAACACAATGACTAAAACTTTTAAACGCTATGTGACGTTTTACCCTGTACATTGACATCTTCTGTACCTTTGCTCCCATTTTTTCCAACTGTTTGTGTACTTCACATAAAATTATAAATGGTTTGATTGCCAGCTGTTGGCGTTTTATTGTGAAAAATGTTTTTCTTTTTTAACTTCAATGTAAGTTGTTTAAAGAGTTTGAATTGTTTAGCTTTATTCAGTTAAAACATTCCTAGTCTTGTAAGATTTGCTTATTACAAAACTACTATTTTCGACTTCTCTTAAATTGGATTCCTCCATCGCCTGTATACGTTTCCCCATCGTCTTCTAATTAAAAGTAATAACATTAATGTGATACAAAATCAATATGAAGCTAAATTTTTATTTTGCTTTATAGAAAATTATCTAGTATTGGGCAATCCACAGGCTATGCTGTATGGTGCATTTCTTAACATCTCTTTCAATGAGTTGAATTTCATGTTTCATGGATACATAGGTTCCTATATCTCTATGTGAACTAATTTAAACCATGTTCCGTGTAATTTCTTGTCATAGCTTTTGGTAATGAGTCTATATTTGCATAACTTACTTTTGTATTTGTAGTTATTTATTACCAGAAGGGGTACCCACAATGCAACTCTAAAACAAAAATGTAGCGGTATTTAAGACATAACAATCTTTTCTTTCCATTTTAATCTTAAGTATTACTGCATGAAGTTTGAGTAAATAGCTTAATGACGAATAAAAAAAAATAATGAATCTTGAACTATGTTTGTAATCCCCGATTAATCTCCTCTTAGAAGTTCATTCAAATGCCTCCAAAATCTATAAAGTAGAGTGAGTGTAATTTTTGAGCCTTTGTTATTCAATATGTAATGAAATTTTTGTCCTTTTTAGGTGGATATAGAAAAGACATCAAGTGTAAGACTGACAATATACATTAGTTCCAATTTAAAAAGTGACATAACTAACGATCTTTTTAACATAATTATTTGATAATAGAGCAAAGAGTGGTTGGAGAAAGTTTTTGAAACAATTCATCTGCTCATACAACCCGGGGAGTCATTTGTGCTTCTGCTCACAGGTATCAATTAATTTTATCCTATTGTGTTTTTATCATTTCTCTAAACTTGATAATTTACTCATTATGTTTATGAGGAGATAATCAGTCCAAAGAATATATGTTACCAACATAATATAATAGTTCCACATTTTAAAGAAAAATTAATATATGTTCTACACAACATTTCTTACGTTTTGTGAAATGAAGGCACTTTGTATTTTTGACATTCGAATTTTCACTTTGGGTCATTCAACAAAACACGGAAAATAGATCTTTCGTTATAAATCAGTAGGCAAAGACAGGTGATCCACTGCCCAGATCTATGACAGAATACCATGTCATAAGTCACAATAATTTCATACCAATAAATAAAATCAGTAGGCAACCGTGGTGAATTTTGAATGTTAATAAAATCATCTAATTCTTCTTCATTCTCATTTGTGACATCAATCATTTTTCCTTTGAGGACAACTGACTACCTACCATTTGATGGATCAGTGACATAAAACACTTGTTTTGCCTGGTATGCCATTATGAAGGGTTCTTCCTTATGACCAATCTTGTTTATATCAATCAAAGTAAATCCCATTTGGTCTCTTTGGACACCAGTATTGCTATCAACCCATTTATATTTAAATAAAGGCACTTTGAATTTAGTATAATCGACCTCACAAATCTCCTCAATGACTCCAAAGTAACTAATTGATGCCATGATGGGGTTTTTGTCCATTGCACTAGAAAAGTGCATAGATGATGCCTCAATAGATACTCCACTATTTTGGACTGTACTTTTGTCATCTTGTGCCTTCGTATAGAATGAGTATTTGTTAATGTCATACCCTTGCCAAGTTATAACATTATATCTAGGACCATGTGCTAGCCATTTCAGTGTATCAGAGACATTGTCACTTGAAAATATTTTGCTTTGAAACCAATTGATAAAATTGTTGTTATGCTCTTTCATCAACCACCTTTCACCCATTTTGGGGTTTAGGTCCTTTAACATTGCTTTATGCGCATCTATGTAAGGAATAACCTCTTCTGTATTGTTCAAAATATACAAGTGGGCGGTGCTCAACTCTACATGATCTTTTGTTTGAATTCTAATACCACGAGTTCCCTTACCATTTAGCCTATCATCATGACGATTTCTAGGTACACCCACAGGTACGACTCTTGCCAAGTAATCTGTACAAAATTCTATGGCTTCTTCTGTAATATACTTGCTTCAACAATTGAAGCTTCAGTGTCTGTATGGATTTTTAGAATACCCTTTGAAGATCTTCATGTATCGCTCAATTGGGTACATCCACCTCAAATAAACCGGCCCACAAATTCGTATCTCCCTCACAACATGAACTATTAAGTGAATCATTATATCAAAGAATGATGGAGGAAAATACATCTCCAATTGACATAGCACAACCGCAGCCTCATTTTCCAACTCATCTAGTGATTTTTCATCGATAACCTTGGCACAAATAGAATTGAAGAAAAAACATAGTCGCATAATGGCATGTCTAACATTCTTAAGCAATATGTTACGTATAGCCACGGGTAACAACTGTTGCATCAAAACGTGACAATCATGTGACTTTAATCCTACTAACTTCAGATCTTTCATGGATACAAGACTCTTAATATTTGAAGAGTATCCTTGTGGCACTTTAATACTTTGAAGACAATGACATAAACTATGTTTCTCCTTCTTTGACAAGGTGTGACATGCTGGTGGTAGATATGTTTTATTGCCTTCAGGCCTTGGATGTAATTCAGGACGTATTCCCATCTCACAAAGGTCTTGACGTGCTTTGATCCCATCCTTTGACTTTCCTTGAATGTTTAACAATGTGTCAATGAGACTATCACATACATTCTTCTTCACATGCATAACATCAATACAATGTCGTACTTCTAAATGGCTCCAATATGGAAGATCAAAGAAAATTGATCTCTTCTTCCACATGTTCTTGTCAGAAGACCTTTTTTGGGTCTTTCCAAATGTAATGCTTATGTTCTTCACTCGATCGTAAACTTCTAAACCAGTCAATGGTTCTCTGGCAATTTCATCCTCCTGTATGCCATTAAAAACTTTCTTAAGTCTACGGTATGGATGGTCATGCGGGAGAAATTTTCTGTGCCTGTTATAAACTGTCTTCTTTCCATGTTTCAATTGTAGATAACTGGTCTCTTCTTCACAAATAGGACAAGCATAATGCCCCTTCACACTATACCAACTCAAGTTTCCATAGGCAGAGAAGTCATTAATGGTACAAAATAACATTGCATGCAACTTGAACTTCTGCTGCTGATACCCATCAAATGTATCTACTCCTTCCTCCCATAATAGTGTTAAGTCTTCTATCAAAGGACTCAAATACACATCTATGTCATTTCCTGGTTGTCTTGGACCTGCAATCATCATACACAACATGACATATTTGCGCTTCATGCATAACCATGGTGGAAGATTATAAATCATCAATAAAACGGGCCATGAACTATGGTTACTACTTAAATTTTCAAAAGGATTCATCCCATTTGTTGCTAATCCAAGTCTAAGGTTTCTTGCATCACTGCCAAAACTTGGAAATAGATGGTTAAAATTCTTCCATTGGGGAAAGTCAGATGGATGTCGCATTTGCCCATCACATGTTTTTCTCTTTGAATGCCAAATTAAATTTTCAGCATCTTTGTGAGCGTACAACCGCCTAAATATTGGAAGATACCATAAAACTTTTGCAGGAGGACGTTTTTTATCACTCTCCTGACTACAATCATCACCATCCTTCGCTTTGTAACGTGATACACCACATGTTGGACATTGGTCTAAAGATGAGAATTCTTTTCTGTATAAGACACAATCATTAGGACAAGCATGTATCTTCCTATATTCTAAACCCATCGGACAAAGTATCTTCTTTGCTTCATACATACGGTCCGGTAAGGTGTTATTGTCTGGGAGCATCTCCTTCAAAAGTTGAAGTAATTCATTAAAACTTGTATTACTCCAACCAAATTTTGCTTTTAGATTGACCAATTTTAACACATATGACAACCGTGTGAAAGTTGTACATCCG